AGGAGGACATTAGCCAGAAGCAGAATACCAGGAGAGTCGTTCCTTGTATTCCCATTCAGCTAAAAATTGAAGCAATTCCAGCCATCTCACTGTACTATCAAGGAGATGAGTATTTACAACATGTCACAGATGGCCTTGTTCATTATTATAGTCAGAAAACGACTGCACTCAGGAAGTACCTCTCAGGAGCTTCCAGCTCTTGTCTGGTCAAGAAATGCTGGGAGGGACACCAACCTCTCCTCCTGTTACATTCACAACTTACTACTGGGTTATCAGCTCTCTCACTTTAGTACCATCATGGGAAGGAAACCTCAGTGGATGGGCTTGACATGGATTTCAAAACACTCCATCAGATGAGTTCAGACCTAGTCCTCTCAATTTAAATTATTTCTTATTCCATAAGTGATTCCACTAACATTCTTTGAACTACTGTGAAGTACTGTTATATTAAATACGTGTGAGGCTATAAGCTATCAATCCCAAATGGTTAACTGTCTCAATAAATGTATTTTTGATTGTTGCAATAAGTAATTGCTCCCAGAGAGGGAGGCGGAGAATGAGTTTCCTTAGGGAGGTGAAATAGCAAGATTTGTGACCTTGTTATTTAGGGATAATACCCAAAATTTGGAAAATCTGACCAGATGCTAGTGAAGCACTCTGGTTAAATGCACAAAAGAAACCCTAAATAAAAATTAGTGTGAAACATGAAAAACAACAGAATGTTTCTATAAGAAGTAGAGCAACAGGACCCTAATAGTCCCTTCAGCATCTGGTTAATACCATACTATAAACAACAAACAATAACAAGAATTTAGCTGCATGTGAAAACTGGAAACCTCAGAAACTCAGCTTTTATACATCTAAAGACCTCTTTACTAGGAATCCTGATCTAAAGACAGTCATTATTGTTACTACAGAAAATTTTCAACATGCAGAATAATCAAGAGGAAAAACCCAAAGCATCAGTGTGGGTAACTTGATTACTGCAGAAAATAAAATTGAAAGACAGAAGGATGGAGGGAAGAAAGGATGGAAGCAAACCATCACATCCTGTCTTACTCTAGATTACTTTGTAGAATTTGATTATTCACAGACTTACAAGTGGGTTTAATTGCAAACTTATAAGTACAGGTAAAGTCAGGAAGAGTAAAGACCTAATGCTTAGTACTTTGTGGAATAAATGCTTGCATTGTCCACATGTGTCTACTGTATAATGGAGACTGACATATCAGCCAAGCAAACACTAAAACATTAGAATTATGACTCAGAAGTGAAAATAATGTTGAAAATTGGAATTAAAGCTAGGTGTCCATATTCTTCAGGTGGAGAGTTCTTTTCTTCTGCTTGGTCCCTAGAACAATGGGATCCTGTAAATGCTCTGAGCTCCAAGGAATAACTGGTGATATATCAAATTAACAAAACTATCAAATTAGCAAAACTTTGCTGAGATATTAATGCATGAGGCTGTGCTTCTGCAAAGATGTACATACAGCTCCACAGGAAGTACTACCTATCACCCAGACCTCATAGGACTTACATTAGAAATTTAGGATAGTATTATTTATTCCAGTAATTCAAATACCAGTAAATTGAAGCACACAAAAGAGCCTTTAAATTAATGGGACAAGCACTAAGCACCCTGAAAGTCAGGACAGGTGGGTTTTTTCATTTTGCTTATGGGTGTTTAGTTAGGGAAAGATCATGATTTGTGACTTACTTTCATCTTAACATAGTGCTGGTGTGAGTCTTTCTTACTGCAAATCTGAAAAAAATATATAATCTATGCATTGAAATTAAGATAAAAGTCTTTTGAAGAGAGTTCGAAAGGTCTTCTGTTCATTACAAAACCTTTTAATTTTTTTTTTTTTTTGAGGAAACACTAAGCTATCTGAACAGCTTCAAAACTGCAGCAGAGCTGTCTGAGTCACAGGCCTACAACTGTCATTTAAGGTAACCAAGTCTGAAAAGTGTTGGTTATTGCAAAGTCAGAATTCTATTAAAAAAAAAAAGATAAACAGCTATAAGTGGGATGCAATTCCAGCATGAACTGAATAGAGATGTGTTAATAGGTAAATACCTAAGTCAGTTTCTTATGACTTTTAAGAAGCATCATTCTTACAGCCACTGATCTACCTGCCTAATATTCAACTTCCAAACAAGTGTTTGCAAATTGGAAAGAATTCCTAAACAAGCTACATGAGTGACATGAGCTATGGGAAAATAATATGGCATGCAGTTCTACTTTTTTATCCATTCAGGACTTGGGCATGACATAATTGCTGTGTCTCACCTCTCATAATCTACGTAAGCAAGACAATCACAGCTTCCAAAACTGTGAAACTTTTCATTTTTTGAAAAAAGGGAATATCTAGCAAAATGCATCACATGCTGATCTTTTTTTTAACTATTCACAAACAAAAACTTCTGTAAAGTGCTTATAAATTGGGTGAGACAGAAGAAAATACCTCTTAGCTAAACTGATGTTCTCAAATTAGTTCCCGTGCCTGCAGCACAACATTTACCTTAGCTCCCCTGCACCTCACCATCACCCTTTTATGTTTCATTTACACCTTACTCTTCAAGAGACAATTTTTCTCCTAACTGCTGGCAGACAAAGGATTTCCTTTACTGACATCCCCTTTTACCTGCTTCTGTGGTGCTAGTACTGACACTTGCTGTCCAGGGTCTCACTCTACACATGACTTTAAGATACAGAGGATCACTCTCCCAAGTGGTAAGTGGGCCCACCACTGATTCGATTCATTACCCACCTGTAATGACACATGGCACAAACCACATCAATGACACAAGGATGTACTCAGAACTGCACAGCTTGATGGTACAGAACAACCATTTCAAGTGAGAGTTGCTTTGCAAACTGGCTACTAAACCCTGCCTCTACAAGCTCCACTCCTGCCACTTCTCCTAAGAGCAAGCCATAAAAATATGAAACCTCCCCAGGTAAGAGAATATACTGTGTTTAACTTGCAACTAAAAAGGGAAAAAGGCTTTAAAAGCCTCCCTCCCAGATCTAAACTTTCTTCTTTTTCAGAGTGATTTACAGCAGATTCATGAAGAGCAGAGGATGATTGAAGGGCTGTGACTGCCCCGGGGCAGGGGAAGGTGTCTGAGAGGGATAGGTAGGCTCCACAGGAGGAAGGTGCATGAAATGAGACTCTTTCACACAAGAAACAATTATCTCAAACTCCCTTTTGGTTTTAAGCATATTGAACTACATCAACTAACACAAAATGAAAAGCACTATTTTGCTTCTCTTGGAGGAACATATTGTTTCCAAAGGAAAATGCGTCAGAAACATGTTTATTGTTTCATCCAAACAGTATTGCCAAAGAGGAGATGGAAACCATTGCTGCCGTAAGAAGTGGCTATATTTTGAACCACAGAAACACAAAATGGTTCATTTTGTCCCCACACTGCTCCGGGTAGGGACACCTTTCACTACATCATCCTGCTCAAAGCCCCACTTAACCTGGCCTTGAACACCCTCAGGGATGGGGCATCCACAGCTTCTCTGGGAAACCTATTCTAGTGCCTCGACACCCTCACAGTAAAGAATTTCTTCCTAATATCCAATCTAAACCTACACTCTTTCAGTTTAAAGCCATTCCCCTTTGTCCTATCACTACATGCCCTTGTGAAAAGTCCCTCTCCAGCTTTCTTGTAGGCCTCCTCTATGTACTAGATGGTGCTATGAGGTCTCAGAATCCCTAGGGCTGTCTTTTAGGGAGTAGATGTGACTGCTGCTACTCCTGGCCCTGCCTACACCTCGACAGCCACTCTGGTGAAAGCTGCCAGCTCCTGGTGGTTCTGGCACTCCCCTGGGGTTCCCCTGGCTCAACTGCAATCCTCCACTGCCCTGTGGGATGTGCGTGCACTGGAACTATCACCTCAGTGAATTGAAAAGAACCCAGAACTCAATATGCAGTTACCACAGGAGTTTTTCTGAAATGCTGGCCCAGTGTAAGCAGCAAAACTGGGCTGGAGTTTCTCAAGCTGTATCCAGACTGCCTAAATGGTCAGTGGGGCACCCATAGGCAGAACTTAGGTGTCTAGGGGGATTGAGATGAGTATTCTTGGGGGCTATCTCTTAAAACCCCTGAAAATTAATAATTTGTTCAATTAATGGCAGCAGTATTTCCAAGGCACCTACACACAGGCTTTCAAGCCTTAAGCAAGCCTTAATGTTAGGATTATGTAGCTTGGTGCATAAAAGCTGAAACCCAACTTCACACTCAAAAGCATTCCCATAATTCACGGGTAGGCAATGAGACAAACTCCATTCAACCTCTGGAGAAGTCCACTCTAAAGACACATTCTCAGCTTACTCACCTGGAATGCACTGAACTCAACACAAGGCTCACTAGTTAAGGCAGCTTTCTCCTAAAACATTGAGGTGAAAAGGTAGTGTAGGAGGACAAGTGCCTATTTAAATGACTGGAAAGCATTAAAACTGGTGTAAGTGATGCTCCATACCACTTACAGCTCTTTTTTCCTTGAGTGCAGGGTGAGAGGTAAGAAGAAACATATAGGAAAGCAGCATTCCAAAGTAGGAAAGATATAATAAGGTGGCAGTGTGACCCCTGCAGTGGGAATCTTTCAAAAAAATTACCAAAAGCTAGTCTCTAGTAAATAGCTTAAAAACTATTATTGTTACCATAATATAGCTGGAGTGAAATTAAGGATTAGCTATAGGTATTTTGTAAAATTCCTCATCCTTTTGATTTAAGCTGCACTATTCAACTCCACAGTGCAGAACTTTCTGAATAGTGCAGTGTCACAATTTGCTACAACATCATAGGCAAAGTTTATAAATAATTTAGGAAAATATTCACTTGGTTGGGGAATATCACTTAGCCCCTGTTTGCAAGGCATGGGTGAGCTTTCTAAGCACACAGGACTCGAGCTGCTTTTCTCTGAGTAAATAATCCTCTCCTATCACACACATATAAGCACATCCCCTTGCAAATTAATGTTCTTACCTTATCTTTATTTTCAGAGTCGGAATCCTCAAGTTTGGTCCGAATGACAAAGGGAGTAGATAATCTCAGGAGAACTCGTTCAAATGTGGCACTGATTTTAGGAGAAACTATGTCGAAGCAGTCTTGAAATTTCAGGGTTTTATGAGTGTCACATCTGAGCTGCTTCCTAAGGCCTTCTCCAAGCTGGAGAACCAGCATGTTTGGATCAAACATCAGGTGAAAAGGGAAAGCTCTGCAGAAGGTGCTGATGCTAATCCTCAGGTCTAAGGGGGACTGGGAAGTTCCTGGTGGAAGTGCTTTTGTGATATTTGCATTTTCATGTTCTTTGATAAGGAAAGTCAGACAACTGCAGTTACCTGGGTTTGACCCCTCTGAACACAACTTATCATTTGTGACCTGTTCTACTTCCACTTCCAAGTGGTAAATCTTCTTTGCTGCTGCTTTTATCATTCCTGTCATTGCAAATCCCACAATCTGATGTGGGTGAAAGTAATGAAGCATGAGATTGCCTTCGGGGAGTTCTTTGCATAGGAAAGAAGGGGATTCCAGGGTGGCCTGTCTTCCAAATGAAGTTCTAATATGCTCCAGCAAAGCATCAAAGCCATTGAAGAAGTCTTGAAGAGTCCCACCTACAGCTCGAAGAACTCTTTCATTCTCATCAAAGCAGATATTGAAGAATTCCTCCCCAAACTTTTCTTGCATTTCCTCAAACTTCAGACCTATAGGACAAGGAGACACTGATATCAATAACAAATGTTACTGTGTCACATTTTCCCTTTGTCCTCTATTTGCCCAGTATTTTTCCAAGTCAGTGAGAGTGGCTTTTTCACTGGATACCTAACCCATAGGTTTTCTGTGGTGGTTGGGAATAACCACAGAAGCCATTTTTGCCTGTCATTTTAAGTCCTCATGCTTTCAGCTTGCTGTCTCAGTTATTTGTGGGCCTGTCCCCTTTTCCCTGCTGGAATCCAGGATACGTTACAAATTCCCTGACTTTCGCATGTCACATGCAGTCCACTGTGTGAATGCACCCAGCCATGGCTGCATCCCTTCCACTGCTGACCTTCCTCATTCAAAAATGAGGCTTCTACTTTTATAATCCCTCTGTTCACTGCCTCTATGAGGGATCCAGCTCCCCCTGGGTTGAAGAATAAACTACTGGAAGAGCTCAAAGTCAGGCGTTTGGCTTTCCATAAGCAATGTAAAAACCCTGCAGTCAGATGACACTTTAATAACTGGTAGAGTGGTGTTGTGCGTTTTGGGGTTTTTTTCAGTCAAAATACTTCTATAGTTATAGGCATTAGGCTCTGCCAGAAGATACAAAGGAATAATTACTTCTTTTTGGTTGCCTGCAAAGGAGAGCAAAATTTTTCCATTTTAGGCTTCTACCTACACTTATCCACCCTTAAAAAACCCTGCCTCTTAGAGCAATCTAAACTGCTAGACTGGACAACTCTGTGATATCTCACAATGTCACTTCAAGTTTCCATCACAGAAATTCAAAAGGTTTTGATTTACAGAGGTGATAAGGCTGGCATTGCTGAAGTGATGAAAAAATATCAGTAATGGAAATGTATCAGATCCTGTTCCAGTTTGTTATTTGCCATTTTAAGGATAACCTAGAAAAATATTTTTGAGATGGTTATTAAACATTTTCCTCTGTTTTATTTCAAGTTAAGTTTTGCTCTGTTAAGTTTTGTTAGTATATAATCCCTTTATCATAGCAGAGTTACAAAATTCATCACGTATGTTTGCATTCTTTTAAGATGTAATAGAATAAAAAGAAGTATGAATCAGCTGTATGTGAACTACAAACATCCAGCAAGAATTTTCAAAGGAAATTAATATAGGAATTAACATAGTTCCTTCGATGTATTAAAATCAAATCACATCACATATCAATCAGGTAGTCAAACACCTTAATATTTATCCTAAATTCAAACAGAAATGAAGGGCAGTTATTTCTTTCCTGAGGGCACAACAGGCCCTTTATTTTTATCTGTATTCAGCATTCTTTATAGCATTGATAATATCCCTGCGGATCACTGAACTTCGCATTGTTTAGATTGCTTGGATGCTTGGGAAGAACAGTGTGATAAGCTACTTTTATGCCCAAGAGGTATAACGGGACAGAAGAAGTCATGTTGTTTGCAGACTATAACCTTTAATAATCTCAAGGCAGTGTCTGAACTGCCTTATGCACACAGGCATAGTTATAATGATCAATATTCACAAGGGATGTGAGTGTTCCCCAGCTTTGCAATCTGCAATGATAGTTTTGTTTGGAACTTTTATGATTAATAGCCAATTAAAATTCATAAAATTACATATATAAATATGACAACATGAGAACATGACAAAGCATATTTTATAAGAGCAGTAATAGTAGTAATTTGGGAAAGTTCACTCAAATGCCATTACTCATAATCAAATTTGGTCACTAAACTAGGTTATTACAAAAATATTCCCAGGATCTTTTATGACCACAGATGGTCAGCTCTGCAGTTAAGCCAGAAGAAAGTACCTCTGGTACACAATGCCCCCTAATATCCTGACTCAGAAGACTGTGTGCCAATTCCTGACTCATTGCCACTACGTCTGTATAACATGGTGCTGTAATACCTTACACAAATATATTCACTATAACCCAAAAATAATTAAACTCTAACCCATACCAATAATGTCATAACTGAATATTAATAGCAAGAAGCTAAGAAATCATCATATTCATATTCATACACAAACAGATATTCATACTTTTAAATCTTATTGTTCTGTAGAGTGAACTGGGAGCAGTTTTAGTCTGTGTGTAAAAGTGAGCAGCCTAGCAAAGGCACCCAAGGCTGTAAGATTGCAGAGGCTCTGAAAGCATGGGAACAGAACAGTATCAGAAACCCTGGGGCTATTCAGACAAATGACCAAATACATCCCACAAAGCTGCCCAAAACAACAGTATAGGTGAACTGTCTTTAAAGTGTTTTATAAAATTACAGTAAAACAGTGGGTTGCCCTGGTGCCACTAAGTGAAAATAGAGTTTGCAGAACTGATCACTCCTGACCTTTACTGCTACATATGCAAGCCTCATCTCATTATCATTAATTGGAATCTCAGTATTTGGCCCAAGGTTTTGCTGATTGTTTTAGCTTGGTCTTGTCATCCATCCTGGAGGATTGCCTGTTCAATCTGGATGCAACATACTGACTCCAAGCAACATGAATTATACTATGAAATGCAGGTAAATGATCTGGCTCAAGGACATGCTACTACTTTTAAAAACAGTTTAGCTTGGAATTGAGTTACACACAGTACCAGTAGAAAATTAGATTAGCTCTAATAGAAAAATGAGTATGACCAAACTCAACCAAACTGCTGGTCTCCTTAGACAGGAATTTTCTCTCTAACAGACACTAAGAGATACTATGAGGAACCAAGAAAATTTAAATTAAGTCAAACAACCCTCTAAAACAAAAATGCATAATGTACCTGTCAGGGAAGTTTCTTCCTAAGCCTTATTAACAAAAGATTTTTTGCTTGAAGCATATTTTTCCATTAAAGCAAAAATATCTATTTAATAAATTCCTATTATACAAACACACATATTTCTGTACAAGGCTATTTGCTTCAATGATGTGTTTGTGTGAAGTGGCACAAAATATTTTGTATGTATTTTTTACTGACTTATTCCTGCCTCTCCTATTGAAACAAATGATGAACAGATGCATACCTAGCATTAACTCTGTAAATACTTCATTATAACATTTTCATATAATCTTTTCATTATAAATGATGAAACATATAAATGATCACAATCTTCTGAATATCTTATGTGGGTTTTCTCCCTACACATATCACTATACATACCTATTGTAGTTTAAGCCCAGCTGGCAACTAAGCACCATGCAGCCATTTGTTCACCCCCTTACCCCAGTGGAATGAGGAGAAGAATCAAAAGTAAAACTTGTAGGTTAAGAACAATTTAATAATTGAAACAAAAGGAAATAATAAAGAAAAACAAGTGATGCACAATACAGCTGCTCACCACCCACTGATTGATGCCAAACCTTGTCCCCAAACCCAAACTGGCCCCCTTCCAGGTAACTCCACCAGTTTATATACTGGGCATGACGTTCTGTGGCATGGAATATTCCCTTGGCCAGCTATGCTCCCTCCCAGCTTTGTTGTGCCCCTCCTCACTGGCAGAGTATGAGACACAAAAAAAGTCCTTGACTTAGGATAAATACTACTTAGCAACAACCAAAACATCAGTGTGTTATCAATATTATTTTCATGCTGAATCCAAAACACAGCTCTGTACCAGCTACTTAGAAGAAATTAACTCTATCCCAGATGAAACCGGGACAATACCAGATTGGGAGACAGTTTTATTACGTATAGAAAAATGTGCTTGTTAAAAAAGAATAAATCCTAGAATTCATTGTCTCTATAGTGCATACTTTTGTCCTAGTTAGAACAGCTGGGACCAGTTCATCACCGTATGGGTGTAACCCAAAACTGTGTATTCTATAGCCTTCCATGCCATTTCCCAGAAACTGTTATCAATAGACCATTTACACCATCTGCCCAGAGCAGCCTGACTCCTCAGGCTATAAGCTGGGTGTTAAGAGGCCTGCGAGATAAGAGGATGTTCTTGTCCTCATACCCACTGTGGAACTCCCCACCCTTAGGGAGATACTGGGCATTCCTGCCTGAACTGGAGGATATATAATCTTGAGGTCTTGGGACTTTTTTAACCACTCATGGGACCCAGAGGAAGACTGCAGACCACCACTCTCAACCAGACTGCAACCACCACTCTCGACTGGACTGCAACCACCACTTTTCAACCAGACTGCAACCACCACTCTTGACCAGACTGCAACCACCACTCTCGACTGGACTGCAATCACCACTCTTGACCAGACTGCAACAGCACTCTCACCAATGGGTTTTCCCCTCTCCTTTTACTTTGGACTCAGGGGGCCCAATGAACACCACTCTGTTCATGCTCCGGGGTGCTGGGTTATATATTTGGGTTTTGTGGGTTAAAACCAATTGTTTGTCTGTATAATCGTACTTATTGTATTATTTTATTAAATTGTTATTCTGATTTATAATCTCTCTTTTGAGTTGGGTTCATTTTCCCTGATGGTTTACCTTTAAACCAGTACAACTTTATTACATTTGGAGACCTCTACAGCATAGTAACTACCTTTAAAAATTACATTTGGCATGATTTCCAATTTCAGAGTATTTGGTATTTTTTTCTTTTTCTTTTATTCTGCGAAAAGGCAAAATCAAAATAATCTTTTTTTATAACCTTCAGGTTATACACCTACATTGTGGACCTCTAAGCAAAATTTTCATTCAACCTTTTCAAATTCATCTCACATTAAATTGTTTCTCTGTTTAATTTTGCAATGGAATAATTCAAATTGAAGATGGCTCTGAAAATGTGAATCAACTTCTGTCCAGCAAAATCGACAATTTGCTATTCCTTTCTGAAAAGCAGGGATTTCCATTCTTTCTTTTTCATTGTGGACCTCTAAGCAAAATTTTCATTCAGCTGCCCAGAAAAAAATAATGTTTGAGATCTTGTATGGGTGCTCAGCACTTCCAAATGCAGAGGCCACTGTGCTCCCACATCACCTCATGTATGACCCCAATACAGCTTTCTAATGAGCCCTTGCTTGCAATTAATCAGTAGGAAAAAGCCTTCCT